TCTGGCTCACTACCCTCAGACGTAGCACTCCCAGGCTCAGCACCCCCAGACTCAGCACCCCCAGACTCAGCACCCGCAGGCTCCGCACCCCCAGACTCCGCAACCCCAGGCTCCGCACGCTCAGGCTCAGCACCCCTAGCAGGACGAGAGTCGACAGCTACCTCGACAGGCTCAACCGGGTCTACCTGGGACACACCTGAGGGAGCGGCACCCTGAGGGGGGAGGGGGTCTACCACAGCAGCACCTGGCGCGAGGAAGAGAGGCGGGGGGGGGAGCGGGGCAGTGCGGTAGGGGAAGAGGCGGTAGTAGGGCACCGACTCGTCAAAAGTGACGTCCTGAGAGGGCAGGACACGGCGCGAGGTGGCGTGGTAAAACTGCCAACCAGACGCGTCCGGGACAAAGCCAAGGAAGACAGAAGGAACAGCGCGGGAGGAGAGCTTGTCCGCGGACGTATCGCGGACAAAAGCTCGAGATCCCCAGACCCGGAAACGTGACGCATCGCCAACCTCCCCCGTCCACAGCAGTGTGGGCGAGGTCTCCGGCAAGGAGACACGGGGCCAGAGGTTGAGCTGATGCGCAAACGGCCACAGAAAGTGGGGGGCAGCCGCATGGATCAAGGAGGTACGAGCGACCTCCATGACCAAGCCAATGCGGCGCTCAGCAACCCCATTCTGCTGTGGAGAGGCCGGAAGCGTGAACGACTGGCGGATGCCGTGCTCCGCACAGTAGGCTGCCAAGAGGTCGGAGGAGAACTCACCACCTCTGTCAGAGTGCAGACGCAGGACAGGAAAGTCCGAGTGGAACCGCTCGCTGAGCTGGAGACGAGAAGCGCGGATCCAAGGGATCAAAACATCAGGGACCTCACCCTTGGTGCGCAAGGGGAAGACCGTGGTGTAGCGCGAGTAGTCGTCAACAACGATCAGGAAGTACCTCTCCTGACCCTGTCCACGGACGCGGGCTGGGCCCCACACGTCCATGTGGAGCGTCTGCAAGGGAGCAGTCGTCGGGGGAAACGAGGAGGAGTGAGGAGCGGCGCGCTGCCGCCCCTCGACACAAGGAAGACAGGGAGGAGCAGGCGAGGGTGGGAGAGGAGGGAGTACCCGGGGAAGACCAGAGACAAGGTACCGTTTGTGCATGGCACGAAGGCGCTGCACTGACGGGTGACCAAGGCGGTGGTGCCAGAGGACGGTCTCGTGTGCTAGAGAGCGACACGAGCAGGGGGCAGACAGCTGACCTGAAGCAGACGCAGACGCAGCTACGTGAGGGGACTCAGTGGTCAGTGTGTACAGGTCCGACCCCGGCTGCCGAGTGAAGGTAGCCAGGTGACGGCCCGTCCGAGCACACGTGCAGTGTGTCACGCGCTCGTAGGCAGGGGTGAACTGGTGGACACCCCCGTCCTGGAGTGCACAACCCGCCACCAAGTTCGTAGAGAACGAGGGGAGGTGGAGACCTGACAGTGTGCCCGACGGAACCGCAGGACAAGGAAGAACAGTGGAGGAGGTCGCAATGACCGGACCCCCAGAGGGGTCAGCAAGGGAGACAGCAACTGGCCGAGCAAGCTGCTCAAGGACAGTGCGGTCACGAAAGAAACAGCGAGAAGCACCTGAGTCCAGTGTGAAGGTGTGCAGTGCCTCAGTAGTCTCAGTACCAGGGGGCGCAGACTCACGAGCACCTAGAGCAGCAGCCTCACCAGCACCTGGGGCAACAGACACACTAGCACCTAGAGCGGCAGCCTCACCAGCACCTGAGGCAACCGACACACGAGCACCTAGTGCGACAGCCTCACCAGTACCTAGAGCAGCAGACTGGATACCGGGGTCAGGCGGCACACACAGGTGACAGGCTCCCTCGGTACTAGTAGACAATGCATACATGGCAGTGAGAATAGCATCATAGGGAAGAGCAAAGATATCTACCCTCTGTCCAAGCAGCTCCACCCAGTCGGGGAGCTCAGCGTCGTCGCCAAACTCTGTACGCCAAGCGTCAGTCAGACGGGCGAAGCAGTGGGACTCTGTGTGACCACGCGTCCCGCAAGGCTGACCAGTCCAGGCACCCGTGCTAATAACGTACGGGCAGCGAGCATTACTCAGCGACCCTCTACTCTGAGCGTACCACTCACGAAACTACTGGGGCGAAAGAGGGTCGCGCGGACGACGCTGCTGCTGCACCGGGCCACTACAAGAAGTTCCCGAACTACCCACTCCAGGACGACTCCCACTACGGTCACCCCGACAACCCCAACTGGCGTACCACTCACGAAGCTGCTGGGGCGTGAGGGACACACGCGGACGGCCGTGGAGCTGCATCTGGCCACGCCAGGAGCAGCAGTAGCAGCAGGAGCAGCAGTAATAGCAGTAGCAGCAGGAGCAGTAAAAACAGTAGCAGTGGCAGTGCGGGCAGGGCAGTGCTCACCATTGGTAGGAAGGGCAGGCGCAAGACGGCAGCGACAGCAGAGCCGCTACAGCTGTAGGGCGGGGCCGGGCCGCGGCAGGGAGCTCCGCGGCAGCTGCTGCAGGGCGGGGCTGGGCCGCGACGGCAGCTGCTCCAGGGGCCAGGGGCGACTCCTGCAGTGGCGGCTGTTCCAGGTGGCCAGGGGCGGCCGCTGCAGGGGCGGCTCCTCCAGGGTCCAGGGGCGGCTGTAGGTGCGGCTGCTCCAGGGGCCGGGGGCGGCTGCTGCAGTGTCGGCTGGTCCAGGGGCCAGGGGCGGCCGTCCCAAGGGCGGGCGCGGGGTAGGGCAGGGCGCCACGGCGAGCAGAGGCGACCCCTCGCGGGTCCCAGTGGCGACGCGCGGGTCGCGTGGGTGCGTCGCGACGAGGCGGGGGCGACGCGCGCGAGCCCCGGTGGCGACTCGCAGGTCGCGTGGGGGCGTCGCGTCGAGGCAGGGGCGACGCGCGCGGGTCCCGGTGGCGACGCGCGGGCCGCGCGGGGGCGTCGCGTCGAGGCAGGGGCGACGCGCGCGGGTCGCGCGGGGGCGTCGCGTCGTGGCAGGGGCGACGCGTGCGGGTCCCAGTGGCGACGCGCGGGGCGCGCGGGGGGCGTCGCGGCGAGGCTAGGGGCCGCGCCTCGGGGTCCAGGGGCGGTTGCGCGGGTGCAGAGGAGGCCCGCGCGCTGCCTGTAGGGGAGGGCGGCAGGGTGGCGCTCGAGAGCGCTAGGAGGTAGGCGCTCGAGGGCGCGGGTAGGGGCGCACTACGGCGCTAGGAAGAGGCTCACGACGGCGCGAGGAAGGGCGCTCGACGACGCTAGGAAGGGCGCACGAAGGCGCTAGGAAGGGCGCTCGACGGCGCGAGGTACTATCAGACACAGTCGCGCAAGGGCGCGGCGGAACGGTGGGCCCTAACCAACGTCGGTCCTAGGTCGTGACCTAGGCGTCGGATACCATGTTAGAATGTTGAACTGAACGAGAATGATGAAACTAGCAGAAAGGTGGGTACAAGTAGGAAACCCTAAGTTTGTTGTACCCCCTAAGGCTAAACCCACTATAGCCTACACAAAGTAAACATACAATGTTTGACAGGTTTAAGCAGGGTGCGACGGGCGGCTAAGGCCGGGCGCGACGGGCGGCTAAGGCAGGGCACGTCGGGGCGCGAGGGCCCCACGGGCGGGGCGCGGCGTAGTAGCTAAGGGGGACGAGGCGGAGCAGGGATCCTAGGCCTACTCGTGATACCATGTTAAAATGAGAAAATACGGCTAACGATGGCATACTGGGGGGTTCAAATAGCAAACCCTAATATGCAGAACACAAACCCAACCTAGCCTAACAATGTGTACATCAACACATATATGTATACTTTGACAATACAGGTAAGAGGCAAGGTGGACCACCAACTTCTACACAATTATATGATAAGGCTGTTTACATAAATATATGTGTACATATACATCGACATACAATAGCCACGTTTTCATGACACCCATTGGTGATAGAAGCTTTACAAGTTGCATAGCCATTTGGAATACGCGAACATATGAGGAGAATATACATTCGTTAAGCGTTTTTGTTTTTCAGAATGTGTTCAGTCTACAGTTGTGTCGTATTTGAGTTATGACACTTCAACGGCTCTGGGTGATAAGAGCATCTCGCGTCGCGGTAGTGGAATGAATGTCAGGACGCGTGGTCAGGTCGTACATTTACCATCGCACCGTGACGCCACGAATCCAACCGTGGAAAGCGGCTGTCTAGTTTAACCTTTGCACCGTGACGCAACAAATCTAACCGCAGAGAACGTACAGAAGACGTGCGTGGCTATTCAGAGTCCTAATGCCGGCCCCGCAACAGCAATCAGTCAAAGAGTGACCGCCACCGCCTGACAACCTTCCCGCCGTATGACAGGCAGTACGAACCTCACAGAAATTGAATGTTGAGCCACCACTTGAAGCACCCGGATGTTTCCAGGACACTCTTGAATGGCCCCCAGGGTAGTTTTAGATGTTGGGACCCACCCACCCACAAAGGATGGGTCGCAAAGGTTGGCATTTTGAGATTCCGACTCGGAAGAAACGGGTCCCTTCAGGAAGCTGCAGCAGTCTGAAAGTAATAATATTTTTATTCGGACCACTGGGCTAATATGAAGGGAATACCCGTCTCGGGCAATGTAGTCTTACAACAACCCCACTAACCCGCCTGGCGCATACAAGATCATGGATGATCGTACTGACAGAACACAATACTGCTTGCGTTGATCAGCAGATCATACAACTGAAACATCTCCCCCGCGAAGGTCGCGCGCTTCGACGAGTCGGCAACCCGCGACACCGCTTCGTGGCCAACCAATCAACACACCACACCGCATACCGTCAAGTTACGAACGACGGTATGCAGGCGGTCACAGGAGAGTCGCTTTGAGTACTACAAAGCTGTGCGACTTCAACCATGGAGTTGTCTTTTCACAGCAAAATCTCGTTTAGGGACTTCAAACGTCGCTATCCTCAAGCAGCTGTCGTCACTCGACAGATTCGTCACGAGGGGGTCACAGCGGCAGCCTGGCCCGCACGTGTCAGCCATGACCGTCCATCATGCGACGGCGCTACTCGTAGCGGCCATGGCGGCTCTTCTCCTATGCCCTGCAGCGCTGTCAGAGGCAGCGGACGCGCCCGTCATGTTCCGCTCTTCCCGACACCTCACAACCTCCCAGAGTCTCGGTCTGCTGACCGATCTGCACTCATGGTTTCGTGGCGGAACGACCAGCGCCGGTGCGCAGCAAGAACGCTTGCTGGTCGAGAAACCCGGCGCGGCAAGCGGCGCAGGCGCCGGCCAAGGACACTCCGACGCCAGTGGCGCGGCAGGCGGCGCAAGCCAAGCACCCACCGACGGGGGAGGTAGCGGAGGAACACAAAAAGGGACCACCGGCGGTGCAGGATCGGCCAATAACCAAGCGCCCTCGGACAGCGGCGCAGGCGTCGCCCACGGACCCACTGGCTCCGGCGGCACTGGCGGCGCAGGCTCCAACCAAGCACCCTCTGACGCCGGCGCCGATGGCGCAAGCGGCGGCCAAGAACCTGCCTCCGGCGCAGGCGAAGCACCCACCAGCGGCGGAGGCAGCGGAGCGACGCACCATGGTGGCGCCAGCGGCGCAGCCGGCGGAGCCAGCGCCAACGAAGGAACCCCCGACACCAGCGCAGGCGGCGACCACGGACCCGCTGACGCCGGCAGCGCTGGCGGCGCCGATGGATCAAGCGGCGGCGCTGGCGAAGAAGGCTCCGGCCAAGCACCCTCTGACACCGGCTCCGGAAGCGGCGCCAATGGCGCAAGCGGCGCTGATGGACCAAGCGGCAGCCAAGAACCTGCCGCCGGCTCTGGCGAAGCACCCACCAGCGGCGGAGGCAGCGGAGCGGCACACCATGGTGGCACCAGCGGCGGCGGCGGAGGCGCCAACAAAGAAACCTCCGACACCAGCGCAGGCGGGGCCCTCGAATTTGGCGCTAACGCCGACCAGCCTGGTGCCACCGCGGGGCATGGCGGGAATCGCGCGGAGCCATCGTCGGGAGTGCGAATGCGGGACTTGGTGGTGTGGCGGGCCGCCAAGTTCCAACTGAAGGGGCGCGAAGCCCAGTCGCACATGGCGGCCGGCAAGGCCGCGGCGGCCGTGGCGCATTCGCGCGCTTCGGCGTTGGAGAATGCGACAGACGTGGAGGCGTGGACCGGACTGGCGCGCAGTTGCGTGGATCAGGTGAGACCACCCCTCTAAACCCAGTTCAGACTTGATGGGCCATATTCTGCTCATACGGGTGTCCTACTCATAGTATGATGTGATTTGTCACGGTGGGTTCTAACGCGAGCGTGGTGTGTGGCGTGGGGTGGCAGATGGCGTTGGTGACGGAGAGCGTGGAGGAGGCAGCGGGGATGATGGCGAGCGGCGGCGAGGACGTGAATCTGCCGCGCATCCACCTCTCCAACGCCGTCACGCTCGCGCTCGACTGCGCCGAGGGATTCGACCTCTTCGCGCCGGGCAGCTCCCAGGACGCTCGCGTCAAAGCCGTACAGGTGCGTGCCTCCCCGCCCCGCCCCTGCTGCTGCTGCTGCTCCCTGCGCACGGCTTACCGCCGTGCCGTGAAGCAGCCATGCTGCCCTCGCTCTCCCTGCTCGCTTCTACCCCTGCCTGTGCTCTTTTCGCCACCATTCGTTGCTCAGATTGCCGCGAGCCTGGAAAGTTTTTCCATCGAGCGTCTTGCCGTTCTGACGTGCTTGTGAGGTACTCATGATGTTGGACACGCGGCTGTGGCGGTGGCACGTGCATTGGTGCGTGCAGGAAGCAGCGATGGAAGCTCGTGCGTCAGTGATGGAGGCGCTGGGGCGGGCAGCGGACATGGCGGCCATGATCGCAGCAGGCGACGACAGCGCTGCTGCCGCCGCCGCCGCCGCGCCTTCGACCTCACGCCGTCGCCTCCTGCAAGTGGCCGGCGCGACCAGCGGTGGTGGTGGCCCCACTCTCACCGGTGCAGGCACTGCCACTGCAATCACAGTGGCCAACCCCCACAACTCCATCCCCACCACCAATCCCGGCAGAGGCACCGCCAACAGACACAACTCCACTGACTCGACTGACCCTTCAACACCAGCCTCCCCGTCTCCTTCTCCGCCACCCTCTCCCCCTCCCCCTTCGCCACCCCCTCCCTCCCCTCCTCCCTCTCCCTCCCCCTTCGCCTCCCCCTCCCTCCCCTCCTCCGTCTCCCCCTCCGCCTTCGCCTCCCCCTCCTTCCCCTCCTCCCCCTTCTCCTCCCCCTCCCTCCCCTCCTCCGTCTCCCCCTCCCCCTTCTCCTCCCCCTCCCTCCCCTCCTCCGTCTCCCCCTCCCCCTTCGCCTCCCCCTCCCTCCCCTCCTCCATCCCCACCTCTACCTCCCCCCTCCCCACCTCCTCCGCCATCCCCACCTCTGCCACCTCCCTCACCTCCACCATCCCCTCCCCCTTCCCCGCCCCCATCTCCGCCGCCCCCCGCATCGCCCACTCCGCGTATCACCCCCACAGTCACCGTGGCACAGGATGGTTCCGGGAACTTCACCACCGTGCAGGTGCGTGTGAGAGAGAGTTTGTGTGCGAGGGTGTGCGTATGCTTGCAGAAGGGGATTTCTTCTCACTTCACTGTGTGCGCTCCTCTTTGGCAAGCAGGCTGCGGTCACGGCTTACCCAGTGGGGTTCAAGGGGCGCTATGTGGTGTTTATCCAGCCGGGCTTTTACCGTGAGAAGGTGCTCGTTAACTCCACCTGCAAGAATGTCACGTTGCTGGGGACCGGCGCCGCCTCCACTGTCATTTCGTGGTACGACAACGCCACTGCTGGCACCGGCACGTTCCAGACCCCCACCGTTGGTGAGCAACGACCCGCTCTCTCGCTCCTCTCCTCCCTGCTGCCGCCACCTGCTCTGCGTGTTGCTGTTTGCGTTTCTTCCTGCATGCTCTCATCTATCTGCCCAACTTCCCCTATCTCTCACCCTCTTAACTCTCTCTCTCCCATCCTCCCTCCCACTCTTCCCCCCCTCTATCCTCCCCAGCTGTGGAGGCGAGTGGCTTTGCGGCCATCGGCATTCGCTTTGAGAACACGGCGGGGAAGGCTGGGAACCAGGCAGTGGCGTTCAGGCAGACGGGCGACAACGCGGCCTTCTACGAGTGCGAGTTCATTGGGTGGCAGGACACGCTCTACGTGCACGGCGGGCGGCAGTACTACCGCAACTGCTACGTCAACGGGACGGTGGACTTTGTCTTTGGCAATGGCGCGACCGTGATGGACAACTGCACGGTCCATATCCGCTCATACTCCGGTGGGACGGTCACGGCGTCGGGGCGAACTAACTACACGGAGAGCACGGGCATCGTGATCCTCAACTCCATCATCAAAGGCGACCTCGCCAACAGAACGTACCTCGGCCGCCCCTGGAAGCCCTATGCGCGAGTGGCTGTCATCAACACCACAATCAGCAACGTGGTATGCCCTCCTCTCCCTCCCCCTCATTCCCACTTTGACCTGCTGTTCCCTTTCTGTCATGCTGCTGTCATTGCACGGCCTCAACCCTCATCCCCACACTGCACTTGCTGTTTTTGCTTGCCCTCCCCTCAGCTGAATACAAGTGGCTGGCTGGACTGGGGCAGTATAGTGTACAGCACTTCTACTTTCATCGAGCAAGGCAACAGTGGGCCGGGGTCTGTGGGGCCGCGCATAGCATGGGCAACGCCAGGCATCGTGACGGACCCTGCCCAGGTCGCCATGTACTACCCCAACACCTTCCTCGCCCCCTTCTCCTCCATCGCCAACCTCATTCCCTTTTCCTGGCTCTAGCTTTCCGTACCCTGCCACGCCACCGCTTCTCCTCCCGTGATGGAGGCTCTTACACGTTCAGCATCCAAGGCATCACCAACCTCAGGCACCTCGTTTGAAGGAGTCACATATGATTAGTTTTTTTTAGTGATTTTTTTTATGTTGGTGTGGTACGGTAGCTTAAGGCCCAAATTTTCCCGTCATACTGGTAGTTTAAAAAGTAGACCCAAATGTTATAGTCACTGTAGGCCCAAATGTGCATAAAACGAAAGATAGAGTGCATAGTCGGATTTCTGCACATCGGCTTCAAATGTTGATAGCGTTCTGTTCACAGCTCCAAATGACATGCTATAAATTGGATCTGGAGCGTCTGCACGTCGTCTATGATGGACTAGGTAGCATGCATGAGTACAAGTGCCTAACCCTAAAGTGTTGTACCCCTTGTAGGCTAACCCACTATAGCGTAGAGATAACACAAACATACAGTTTGACACACCCCCATAGGCTAAGTGGGAGATAGCAAACACAACAGACGGTGACAAGACCAGTCAGGCAAGAGAACAAAGCAAAGCAAAGCCCAGGGTGGATCACAAGGTCACCACGCATTCTGAGCACAAGCAAGCGGCCACAATGCCAGTTCACATGCAGAGTTAAAATAGCAAGGCAGTACACTTTTCACAACCTAGCAAGAGTAAACAAGCAGGTATAAAGATACATATCAGTGTACAACAAGAGCAAGTCAAGCAACCAGCAGGTGAGGCAGAGTGGGCACAAGCCCAAGAGCTGTGCAGAAACGCTGATGATCACCAGACCCAAGGGCCTTGGTGAAGACATCAGCAGTGTTGGCCCGAGAGGCCACGTCAGCAAGTCGCAGCTGACGACGCTGCTGCAGCTCACGCGCAAGGAAGTAGCGAAGAGCAATGTGCTTCGTTCTGTGCTCCAGTCTCTGCTCGCGACACAAGGCAAGCATTGCCTTGTTGTCGACGTACAGAACTGGAGGAGAACGAGGCCGCTCCCCCAAGTCGGTCAGCAGGTAGGTCAGCCAGCGAAGCTCCTGTGCAGCCATGGCCCCAGCGTAGATCTCGGCCTCACAGCTGGAACCCAGCATAGAAGAAGAACGAGTGGACCTCCACGAGACAGAACCAGAGCCAAGACTGAAGGTGTAACCCTGTGACGAACGCTGAGTCGTCTGGTCGTCGGCCCAAGAAGCGTCAGAGTGTCCTGTGAGGACCACTGTACTCCGTCCTCCAAGCACGAGCCCCATGCCCGATGTACTGCACAAGTAACGCAGTACCCTCTTCGCAGCATCAAAGTGCACCTTTCGGTGTCTACCAGGAGCCACGTAGCGAGCCAGAGGGCTGAGAGGTACGCGAGGTCGGGTCGTGTGCACGTCATCGGGTTCCTGAGGCAGCCCACAAGCTCTGGGTACGGACCGCTCGGCTCTACGGACTCGTCCGAAGGTGGAGCTGAGAGCGAGTGGCCGGTAGACAGAGGAGTGGGCTGTGGCGAGCACCACGTGAAGCCAAAGCGCTGAAGGACCTGCTGCACCATGTGTGACTGCGTCAGGGTGATGGTGCGTCGTGCTCTGTCCCGGGTGATCTGCAAGCCAAGATAGCTCCGCAGCTCACCCAGGTCAGTGCAGGTGTGTCTCTCCTGCAGCTCCGTCTTCACGCGGACAAGTGCCTCAGTGTCAGCAGTAGCAAAGACCAAGTCGTCGACGTATACGAGGATGTAGAACGGCGGCAGCGTGGTGTCAGTGCGCAGAAACAGTGACGGGTCAGCAGTGGAAGGAGCAAACCCAAGAGCCGCAAGTGTCGTCCTCAGTGTGTCGTGCCACTCGCGGGGTGCCTGACGAAGGCCGTACACTGGTCGCCGTAGGCTCCACAGGGTACCCGCAGGAAACGACCCAGTGAAGCCCTGTGGACGGCGCAACCAGATGGCCTCGTGAAGGCTACCCTGCAAGAACGCTGTCGAGAAGTCGAGGGAGTGCAGCTCGTAGTCACGCTGCGCTGCAACGTGTAGCAACACCCGAAGAGTGGTCATCTTTGGGGTGGGGGAGAAGGTCTGAAAGAAGTCGACCCCCTCACGCTGACTGAAGCCTCGAGCAACGTAACGTGCCTTGAAGGCAGGCGGAGAACCCGGCGGTCGCTTCACCCTGAAAATCCACATGCCACTGACGATGTTCGCCCCAGGTGGGGGAACCTCGTCGACGTAGGTGCCTGTGGACTTCCAGGAAGCCATCTCTGCGTCCATGGCTGTCTGCCACTGAGAGGAGTACTCACCCGAAATCGCCTCTCTGTAAGAGCGCGGGGTGGGGATGTCAAGTGCATCCGGGTCTCCCTCAGGGGCAAGCAGCATGGTAGCGAGATGAGGTACATCGGCTGCAAGGCACTCCAGCTCCTCCTGCCTGTCCTCAAGGACGTCACAGCCAAGGGCCGTACAGCCAAGGGCAGTCTCACCCCCGACGGACGGAGGACAGGCAGGGTCAAGGTCAGAAACGAGACTCGCAAGGTAGTCTAGGCGGTACACAGCAGCAAATTCAACTAGCTCAGCGACTAAGGCAGACGCAGCAGGAGACGAGAACAGAGGGTCAGTCACCACCGTAGCAAGAAAGTGAGTAACAGTCGGACTGGACGCACGAGCAAGGTCAGACGGAGGGTCAGCAACGTCAGGAAGAGAGGACGCAGGAGGAAACGGGAGGACAACACGCTGTGGAACAGAGGAAGGACGGAGTGTCATATCGTGAGTGCCTGGGACAGCCGGAGCACGCTGACGACGAACACGAGAAACACGAGTACGGGCAGCGGCTCTATGCTCGGGCTCAAGGTCAAAGCTAGACTCAGGCTCACGACGCTCAGGGGTGGAAGCACGAGTCTCAGGCTCTCGACGCTCAGACAGGGACCGTGTCACCGCAGTGTAAGGAGTAGGAGCAGGCAGTGGGGAGTGCGGTAGCAGCGGCGGCTGAGACTGGTCGGCCGGTGGAAACAGTAACGGAGGAGTAGTACCTGCCACAGGGAAGTCAGTAGCACCTGGCGGAAGACTGAGAAGGTGGCGAAGAGCACCAGCAGCTCCCGTACCTCCAGCACGAGCAGCACCAGCACCTCCAGCACCTCCAGCACCACTAGCTCTGGCAGCTCCAGCACCTCTAGCACCAGCAGTACCTCCAGCACCTCCAGTGCCAGCAGCTCCAGTAGCACCTCCAGCACCTCCAGCACCAGTAGTACCACCTGCTCCGGCAGCTCCAGCACCTCTGGTACGAGTACCTCCAGGACCCGCAGCTCCAGCACCTCCAGTACCTCCAGCTCCAGCTCCAGCGCCTCCAGCACCAGCAGTACCTCCAGCACCTCCAGTGCCAGCAGCTCCAGTAGCACCTCCAGCACCTCCAGCACCAGCAGTACCACCTGCTCCGGCAGCTCCAGCACCTCTAGTACGAACACCTCCAGGACCAGCAGCTCCAGCACCTCCAGTACCTCCAGCTCCAGCGCCTCCAGCACCAGCAGCACCAGCACCTCCAGTGCCAGCAGCTCCAGTAGCACCTCCAGCACCTCCAGCACCAGCAGTACCACCTGCTCCGGCAGCTCCAGCACCTCTAGTACGAGCACCTCCAGGACCAGCAGCTCCAGCACCTCCAGTACCTCCAGCTCCAGCGCCTCCAGCACCAGCAACACCAGCACCTCCAGGGTCAGCAGCTCCAGTAGCACCTCCAGCACGAGCAGCACCACCAGCTCCGGCAGCTCCAGTACCTCTAGTACGAGCACCTCCAGGACCAGCAGCTCCCGCAGCTCCAGCACCAGTAGCACCAGCACCTCCAGTGCCAGCAGCTCCAGTACCTTCAGCAGTACCTCCAGGACTAGCAGCTCGAGTACCTCCAGCACCAGCAGCACCTCTAGTACCTCCAGCAGTACCTCCAGCACCTCCAGCACCTCCAGCAGTACCTCCAGCACCTCCAGCACCTCTAGGACTAGTAGCTCCAGCACCAGCAGGACTGTACCCTCCACCACCTGGACTGCCTCGCCGAACGACCCACGCACGAATCGCCTGCGGCGAGAGTGTCTCAAGTAGAGCAGGCTGCGGTGGCTGTCCAGCTCCAGCACCTCCAGTAGTGGTAGCTCTAGCACCTCCAGTACCAGAAGCACCTCTAGTACCTCCAGCTCCAGGACCTCCAACAGGGTCACCCACAACTCCACCGCCACTAGGACTCGCAGCACCCCCAGAGTCAGCACCCCCAGTCGCAGCACCCCCAGAACCAGCACCCCCAGAACCCTCACCCTCTGTCTCAGCACGTGGAGTCTCAGCTCCAGAGCCCGCAGCAGCAGGCTGCGGAGGGGGCGAAGACGGTCGAGGCGGAAAACCCGGGGGGGGGGTCTCCAAGCGTGGAGAGCGGCGAGTGGCCGCCGTGTCGTCCGCAACTGGGTCACCCCCTCAGCCGGGCCAGAGGAGTCAGAAGAGATCTCCACTGGCTCATCCAAGGGGGGAGGGTCGACCTGAGACACACCTGAGGGAGAAGGACCCTGTGGGGGGAGGGGGTCTACCGGGGGAGGGACTGGTACCAGGACGAGGGGTGCTAGGGGAACCGGGTGGGACGCGTGCGGGTGTAACTGGTAGAAACAGACCGACTCGTCAAAGGTGACGTCCTGGGAGGCGAAGACTCGACGCGAGGGCGGGTGGTAGAACTGCCAAGGCGGGGCATCAGTGGGGAAGCCAAGGAAGACGCGGCGGAGAGTGCGGGAGGAGAGCTTGCTCGTGGTGGTATCGCGAACAAGAGAGAGCGCGCCCTAGACCCGAAACACTGACGCATCGCCAGCCTTCCCCGTCCACCGGAGTGTGGGCGAGGTCTCTGGCTCGGAGACACGGGGCCAGAGGTTGAGCTGATGCGCAGCGTATCGGACCGCAAACGGCCACAGAAAATGGGGAGCAGCCGCATGGATCATGGAGGTACGAGCAACCTCCATGATCAAGCCAATGCGACGCTCAACAATCCCATTATGCTGAGGAGAGGCCGGAAGCGTGAACGTCTGGCG